ATTTTGGTGTTGGGTATATCTATGTAACAGACAGAAGTTGATAGCTTCGATGCCATATAATGTAAAATATTCTAAATCTGAGTTGATCGAGCGGTTGTCTGTCCGTCTGTATTAACCCTTTGAACATTAAACAATAAGGGCTACAGACTGGAATTTTTGAAAATAGCTTTTTCTGTTTCCATTTCCATCGATAGCTCATTACATTTGCACAAAATCGATAAGTACCGATTAAGAAATTCGGTTTTTTTACCATTTCTCGAAGGCCTTAAGAGCTAGAGACACAAAATGTAGCTTGCAGATTCTCATATGAAAGCAGGAAGTTCGGTTCGCGAAATGGAGGTATCTTCTAGTTGGGCAGTCCCGGTAAGAGCACTCCTCTTGTTGTTGTGGCTCGAGTGGTGGAACAAATGTCAATGGTATTGACATTTTCGTTACGTTTGCTCAACCGATTCCAAATCTCAAATTGACATGAGAAACCTTTGAAATCACGTTACATTTGGGGATACCAGATTTAGATGCGGTTAGCAACATTTTTTCTTTTGCTCCAAACTGGGAGAAGGGCACACACTTTTCCTCTATTTTGTTTTTAAATTTTGTTTTGTTTTTGTATTGTTTTTGGACGGGTTTTTCTTTGACATTTGTAAACACTTCCGCGTGCTCTCTTTTATTCATCTGATTGTTGTTTTTGTTGTTGTTGTTGTTGTTGTCTCTTGGATGTAATTGATGGTTTCGTTTTGTGATTGGCGCTGATTTGTGTGCGTTTCTGGTTACATTTAATGAGAGTTATTAGTGAGTTAGTTTGTGTTGTTTGTTTGCGTCGAAGGCAATTTGTTATCTGAGCCAATTAGGCATCTGTTGCAGGAGACTATCAGATGTAAATAATGACTTAATTATCGGAATACTGTATTTAAGACCTCGCATGGTGTTTATAAGCCAAATATTTCATTGATTATTGTTATTGTTTTAGACACGTTTGTCTTAGATAACTTTGTATTATCAGAAGGGAAGAGCAAAGGGTGTACAACTAATACTTTTCATTATTTTTAATTTTTCTTTAAGATATTTTTATGTATCTTAGATAACATTGAATTATTTGATGCGCCGAATGACTGTATTATTGAAATACTTTATTGAATATTATATATGTTTGAACAACACAAATTGTTTTATCTTGGATAACTTTGTATTATGCTACAATAATTTATAATTTATTATTATTATTATTTTTCATGAATTTTTTTTTAATATTATAATTTATAATTTTAATAAAAATTTAAAATTGATATACATTTCAATTATTCGAATTACATTAACGCATTAAGTTATTGTTGTATCTTTCAGATACTTTTGCAGATTATTATTTTAATTTTGTGACTCTCAAGGAACTCTGCATTCAGATACTTAACTTAACTTAATATATATATGCCAATATATTAAATCTAAAAATGTTCAATAAAATTGTTATTTTATTTGATCATAATATTCAAATGTAGTTCAAGTGGGAATAATAATCGATTCGCTGTATTCAAATTCTGACAAACGGCTTAAGAATAGAAATAAAAATTTAAGTGATGCCTGAAATGTAATCAATTTGAATCGTAAAACGACGACCAACAGATGAGAGTATATTTCGCATAGCATATTTCTATTTATAAGCACCTTGTGACTATTCTGAGAATTAACTCACTTGCCGACAACATTGAGCCCCAGCTGATATCCCTCCTGCCCGGCAACATAATCTATCTTCGTTCATTGACAACAACCTACAACAACCGTAATTACATAATCTATTGGCACGCTTCGTCGACTCTCGTTTAGCTTTTCCGATCTTCCGCTCACCCGCTGCGTCATGAATATCAAATAACCAATCAACGCATAAAAATTCTGCACTAATCCAAATGCAAAAAAAAAAAAGAATAGGAATAACATAAGAAGGCAAATCAATCAATGGATCGAACCCGGGACAAGGACGCAAAGCAGCATCAACCCAAATCAATCAAACTTTTTGTGTGCCCAACAATATTTTAAACTTTTTTAGCCGCTGTTGACTTAAGCCACGTGTAAGTTGCCATGTTTGTCATGCCGCACAATGACGCACACATAAAAAAGGTGACAACAACAACAACAATAACGAGCAGAACAACATCGTAGGCATATTCATAACGAACACCCCATCTCAACGGCCAGACAATAGCTCTAAATAGACTCAACCCCCTTTGCGGCATGCATATTCGCATATCTCAGCCAGTCTCTCCATCTCCCTCTCTCTTTTTGGCAGATAAAATTTCATAAAATTTATTCAAATACGCCGGGAATCGTTCTGCTTTTGCTTTCTTATCAGCAAATTAGCAAACAGCCGGCAGGCGCTGGCAGTCCACGATTGATTATCCCAAATGCAAATTGAATCTGCAAAAAAAGCCGAAAAAGTGAAATCTCCATTTATACATTTTTTTTTTGTGCTGCGGCATATCATTTGTCAACTCTGGCAACAACTTGCAGCGTTTGGCAAATCGCACAGAAACTATGATTAATTTGCACGTGTTTTGAGCTGGAGCCGGCAGGATTAGCAGCAGCATCGATACCCTCTGCTGGCCACTGTCCACTATCCGCTCTCCCTGGGCAACTACTGTCTGCTGTTGTTTGCATAAATGCTTAAGCTGTTGAGTCAACACAGAGGGGGGCACTGCTGCCACAGAAAGAAAGGGAGAGTAGAGAGTCCGCCGCGACGCGAGGCGACGCGATAATTAATGATGATATGAAGGTATAGCAGCTATGAGACATTAGCATGATAAATGAGCAGATGCCCAATTGACCAGCTGACCAGTTGACCAGTTGACCAGTTAACTGGATCCTAGTCCACATTGCTGCATTTGCCACACATTCACAAACATTCACTAAAAAATTGTGAAATTTCAAACACATTCGTTAGATTAAAGCAATTTATTCATAATTTGAGAAATGATTTTTGTGTACTCAGCAGACAAGAAATTATGTATAGTTATACTATTATGTATATAATGGACATAATTTGCACAAAAAATATAATATATACAAAACCACCATATAATATATATGATAAGTTCTTTTATTCGAACCAGCCAAAAAAAAATTCAGAAAACTTTGAACTCTACAACAGTGTACAGATTTAATACAACCTGATTAGAGCGTGGGGAAACATAATAAAATCCTGATAAAGATGTGGAAAATTTTGACCAAGAATAGTGTTTCCAGAATTAGATGCCAAATTGATCTAGATGCCAAACCATAAACAAAAAGTCAAACCTTATGAAAATCGGATGAGATTTGACCGAGTTAAGTGGAAATAAAGACTATCGTTTTGGCCATTTTCAATGGGTTCAGAGTATAAAAATAACCAAAGTTGACGGCGAACCGGCCAGTTGCATATTAAAATTTATTAATTTAATTTAAAAGCTGGACTTGAGAGATTCATTTTGTATTAACGTCTCCTGTTTTACAATTTGGACTCGGCGGCCAATTCGTGTAGCTGAGAAACAATAGCATCGCCGAAAAAGCTTTTGCCATAAAGACTGCGATCCATATCATTAAAGTTTTGGCCGAGGGCGTAGGGTGTCGAGTCGTTCGTACTTAAGAAGTAGCTGCCACGTGCTGTGGGTCTAGTGCGGTAGCCAAGCAGCTCCAACTCCTGATTGGGTTGGCAGGAGTTCATTACAAAGCTGAGCAGATCCCGGCAGCGGAAGGCCCAAAAGCCTGCCTGCGAGTGAATCGACTCGGCATAGTATGCCGCGGCGCGTTTATGATAGCATTCATGGGTGGATACTGCGAGTGAAGATTTCAAGTGCCAATTCCCATTCAATTCTAGCTTCATTTTGGCTACTTACATTCGTTGATGGGTCCGCAATTGGGCTGGACTACGCCCTTGTTGGGATAAAAGTCGACATGTCCAATAGGCAACATCAGACCGTGCAGAAAAATATCTGAATGCACAACATCCACAAAGTTGGCATCGGTTTTATCCAAGCGCTCGTCCTTATTGTTGGTGAGGAAAAGCGGCTTGGCTGGATCTAAGGCCGTAATGTGCGCCACTTTTACATTCATGTGTGCCAAAAATTTGGACGCGAATCCTGCCACATGGGCGCCCAGACCGAAGCCAATCAAATGCAGATTTGATGGATGCAGGCGGCGATTGTGCATTAGTTGGACCAAAAAGTGGGACAAGCAGCGGCCCACAAAATGGGAATTATGGACGGCTTCCGTATAGCAAGGATCAGCCGCAAGCCTGGCGTAATCAATGGAGATAACGTCAAGATTCGGGATGCGTAGAAACTCCGGCAGCAACTCAAAACTGGGCGACTGTGTGCGATCATTGGCAAAGCCGTGTATCAGCACTTTCAGCGGCCTTGAAGTATTGTATTTGAAACCATCTTGACCATTTAGCTTTAACTTACGGCCTTTAGGCTTGGCGGCGCTATGGAAATCGATTGATTGTTGGTTTACTCAATCAGATAAATGCTAACTTTGCTTGCTTACTTATACAGCCAGAAGGTAATATTCGAATTGGGACACGAATCATCAGTCAGCGCAAAGCAATTTTGCTCCGGGATTCCGACGACAAGTTCAAAGTTCAGACAGCCTGTTAAAGCACATTTAAGATGCAAGAATCTGTTGGAATAACTCTTTTTTGTTTTTCTAAGTACCCAGTAATAGCCACAGCTTCAACATTTTAGTTCAGGATAGTCTGCTGACTGAAGCCGAGAGCTGTATTCTTTTAGTCTTTTAAGTATAATGTCGTTGAATAGGCATAACCTATATGGTTAGATAAGCTTTTCAGACAACTTTCTTCCGGGTTGAGTTTAATTTGTTACACATAACCATGACCGAAAATGTTCAAACCCATTTTCAAAGATCTACACATTAAGAAAGATAACTCTGACTGTATAAAGGAAGTAGGTAAGTCAATAAAAAATCCAATATGAGCAAAGAATAGTTATGAATTGATTGATTGCAATTAATAATGCTCCTGTGGAACAGAAAATTAAATTGCTTAACTAAGCCAATTTCGCGGACATGCTCTGAACTGCTTCAGTTAAAGTACTTTAGCTCAGCTGAAGCTTTTACGAATATTAAATTTGCTAAAAAGGCTTCGACTTGGGCTTTCTTTATTCACAATATCTTTAAAGTACTTTCACTCCGAAGGTCAAACAATAAGCTTGTCAACTTGACCCAATTCAGCTGAAAGCAATTTGCTGCATTCTTGAGCGCTGCTTAAAGTCCCCAGGGGCTGGCTGATAATGTGGCTTCGCACCTTAATGTGGTCACATTTGGGTTGATGGCATTCACTCCGTGAGCCACTCACTCGTTCAGTCATTCTCTCAGTGAGTACTCGATACTCGCCACTTGCCACTCACTTGTGCCACATTGCGATGCGGCTCACGTGTGGCGCTGATGGCGACGCCGTTCATTGAATTACGCCCAACTTGCCAACTGGCACGACTTTTTATAGCCCAGTCAAGTTTTGAAGCGTTGCTATTTGAAAAGTAGCTGACAGGATACACTGAGACAGTCCGACAGGCGGGCGGATGGTCGAACAGACGGACGAACAAATGCACAACTCAACTCGAATTGGCAGCAGCTCACCAGGGACAACTTTTTGGGTTCACACTCTTCTTGATAGGGTCCCTTTGAGTTTACACACACAACAAAAAAAAGAGTTTAAATATCATTTAGCCTTTTTATACTGTAGTTTTATTGAATACGGCTAAAAAGGGTAGAATGTTTTTTGAGCACAACTCGAACATTTTAAGAGATACAACAAAGTTGGTGTGCACGTTCTCGTATAGTACATATATATATTACAAACATTTCATTTTTTTGATATTTCGCCTATCTCCCCCAAAAACTAAAGAAAAATATGTTTAACATTAAATCAGGTGCATAGTTCAGGTAAACTTGGGCACTTCTGAATAGAGTATTCTCTCCTCTTAATAGTAAGATATATAAACAACCCAAAGACATTTGTTCTTTCTTCCTTCTTTTATTTAAGGCTTATCAATGTGTGATCAAAGTCCAACTTAAGAATTTATACTAAATGTAAGAACATCTCCAAAAAAAATATTTTTCAAAATGTTGTATAAATTCTCAAGCTCTTTAAATATTGAAAAAAATCTTTTTTCGCAGTGTAGAGTTCTTGGAAAGCAGCCACCCGACTCACTTGCCACCTGTTGAGGACCAGGACCTCTGTCCGTGCGCTGATATGAAGCAAGGCTTATGTGGCGCTTCGGGTTTTAAGTTTGAGTTTGAGTAATTGCCACGTCCGTGGCGGGTGTTTAAGTTTTAATTGAATTTGATCGAATGCATGTGATAAAATTAATTGAAGAGACACAGAGAAAAGCATTGGGAACGTAGGCAAGGAATTCCGAGAAGAGGAACTAGAAGAACTTTTGGAGCGAGACAAACACCCCAAAAGCTGCGCTGTGCCCACTTGACCGAAAGTTTTTAATTGACTTTCGAGCGTAAAATTCGAGCAGCACATAAATGGGGCTATGTTGGGGGCGGGGCAAAACTTTTTGGAGCTACGCAACTCGTTTGCATATGTCGAGCGAGTCGTGCGAGTTGAGGCTTCTCGTAGCCAGGTAATTGATGTTGCCAATTTGCGTTCCGGCCAAAAACTTTGTTGTGTAGTTTGCGGTGTTTCATTAGCGGTTGATGTTTGCCAACCGCCAAATGGCAACTGGCAGCTGGCAGCTGGCAACTGTTTTTTGGCAGCTGCTGTTCATGGTTAACATGTGGGCGTTGCTGTGGATTGGACGCATCAGTCGTAACTTTTGAGTGGCTGTGTAATAACTTTTAAGCAGCGGCAAATTTGATTTATGATTTATCAACCTGCTAAAGTGGCTGCCTCAGCCGCCAACACATTTGCCACATTTTGTGATAATTTTACGCAGCAGCTCAGTAACTGCAACAGTAGGCAGTAAACAGGGAAATGGCTCTTAAAATGGCAGCTCATAAACCTCAGCCATAAGCTGCAAGCAGCCGAAACAGCCTCAAAGTATGCTACGCAAATGGCTTCGACAATTTATAAAGAAACATTTTGTCGGTTTAACAAAAATGTTGAATACACTTATGTGTCGAGCAGGTACCCAAAAACCGGAGCTGGCAAAGCGGATGTGGCCAAATTTGGCATTTTCATAATTTCCGCTCGAGTTTGTTTTCCTTGCGGTTAAAAGTATTTGCCTTAAGACGGCGCCCACGTTGCCAAGCTGCCGAGTTGCTTCCTTTTCCTGTTCCGCGGCAACATCTGAAGCAAGCCCGTTTATTTATGGTTTAATAAGTCTCTTTTTCTTGTCCGTAAAAAAACTCACGACAAATAAAATATAAATATTTAGCCATGAGAATAACAATAAGGAGACGTTCACGCCACAAAATTCATCTAATCCCCCAGATTAGGATTCAGCCTGTTGATGCTATGAGTGAAGTATTAAGCATAAAAAACAAACATTTTAATAAATTTAAAGAGCTTATAGCTTCAATGTGGCCCTTTTATTAGAGAGTCTGTGCTAATTTCATTTAAGCAACTCAAATATCGAGGTTAATTGAGGACTAATAGGATTTCTTTCATGTGTGGAAGATTAAATTCCCTTGCCAACATACATGCTTATTTATATAAATATTAAATAATATATGTAATGTACTTACCCACAAATGCATATTTATATCACGATTATTTTATTGCCAAACTGAGTTTTTCATATTTATACATCACTAAAAGAAAAATAAATAATAAATAAATGGGTTAGTTTTAGATCAGGGCAAAGGCAGAAGACTAAAATGAGAGAGCGAAAAAGAGACAGAGAGTGAATTAAGAAGCCTTACATTAATTTATGAGAATCGTATAGTGGGGCGATCATGTATGCATACATGCGTACACACATACATACATACATACATACATATACACACACACACCAATACATACATATAAACATTACTTACTTACATACATACATACATACAACACATAACAATACTTACATACAAACCTACGTACATACATACAAACATGCGTACATATGTACACACCTCAATATATACACACATGCATACGTATACATATATGTTTACACAATCAATTATATACATACCAGCATACAAACATACATAAATTCAAATATGTGAAGTCATACATAGCGGCTGTTAACCGGCCTTACCCGGGTCAAATATTATCTTTAAATCTTAGACGAAAGTTTTGCGCCTATTCCTCGCCTGAACCAAAATTAAATTTTGTCGCTAAACAACACTTGCGAAGTTGTTTTCCGATATCGGTGAACTAAGTTTTAATCTAGATTTGCGGCATTGGGAATTTGGATACTAAAGTAAAAATAACTTGGGTTTTGACCGGAAATTCCAATGGAATCTGTAAGGACTAAATCGACTCAGTTCATCATCCAGCTTAGCATTTGAAGTCCGTCGTTGTTCAATTATTATACTCCTTGGCAAAGGTATACAAAGATAGGGAGCGAGTTAGAGTGCTAGACAGTTAGATAGGTGGATAGGTAGAGAGATATGTACGTACGGAAGCGGTTCTGACATTAATGTATGCAAATGCGATGCCGTTCAGTTTACTTTGATTATGTTGTAGGGCTGTGTATTAATATTATCCCTTTTGGAGTAACTTTACACTGTGCACACGATAATTTGCATAGTCCGGAATTGGGATTCAGAGGGGATTGGCATGTAAATTCCAAGCCGTGTGCGTATGTGTTGGCAAATGATTTCTCGATTTATGTGCATCATAGTTGATTAATTATTGATTTGTATATTTGATTGAGCGCAACACAGCGCCAGTTGTCAGCCAGTTGGGCAAAAGTGATTAATGCCAGAGTTGAGGCATCTCAAATTTCATGCGGAACAGCTGGAACAAAAGAAGAAGCTACATCAAGGTGGGTGCAGTCCGGCTGACCAGCCACAAGTTGCCCAGAAACCGCAGCCAGTCAAAACTGGTTGCAGACCCTCTATTCATAGCAAGAGGCGTGTGGACAACATTGATAAGTTGGCAAAATGCGGTAAATGAGTAAAAAATTGCGCGCAGGCGCAGAAAATTTAATTAAAACGAACAGCGCACCGGCGCACAAACAACCCCTAACAGAAAAAAAAAGAGTTGGCAACTCGAAAAGGAACTCCGACTGTCAGACAAACTGACGCAAGTTCATCAATTCTGCCGACGTGCTGGGGCACAATCCACGCAATTAGACACACAAGCCGCATTAGCATGCCAAAAAACAACACAAAAGCATAACAGATATGTACGTTTTTTATTTTATAAACAATTTGTTCATTTCGCACGAGCTGTCCAGAGAGGGAGAAAAACGAGATCAAAATGACGGTGGTTCGGTTCACGGTCGGAACCAGCTACCTGCCCTTGATTTCGGTTCCTGAACCTGGGTTTCTTAAATCGAAAAGTTTTTTGGTTGAAAGCAAATCATTTTTGAAAACTAATATGAGTCGTTTTTAATTTCCGTTTCCGGTTTGGTTAAAGGTTCGATTCACAGTTAGAAAAAAATAAAATAATTCACAATTAAAAGTAAATTGAGATATGTATATTCCAAAAACCAATCAGCTGTACGTTGAAATTTAATTAAAAAGATAAGATCTTTTTGAAAATATTTCATATGCAACGAAATTTCATAAAATATTCCACGAAATTTGAATAACAACAAGAGCTGAGCTCGAGCTTAATGCGTCCAAAAAATAGAAAAAATAATCCACTCATATAGCATGTTCCAACTGCCACAGCCCATTACTCGTTGGCATTGGAAGTTCTTCGGGTCAGAAATCAAAATGAATAATGATAATGATAACTGAAACGGAATAAAGTGTTTCCAGTCGAATACCAACAGCACCAAAGGCGACAATGGCTCAAGTAAAATCTCAAGAAAATTACATAAATAGGTCAGCAATTTTCTTCGGGTAAGGGTAGGAGGTCTGTTACTGGAACTCTGACACTGACGAGAAATGCAAATGTCTAGCAAATAGATTTTCTTTGTCTGTCTGTATGTGTGTGCGTGTCAAAATTAAATCAAGTGAAAATAAAGCGCATAAATAAATAGAAGAACACAAAAAAAAACAATTTTGAATGTGAGGTTGTCGGTTTTGTCTATTTGCTTTTCTTAATTGTCTTCTCCGAAGGAAGAGGAAAACTTGTTTTTTATGCGGCATGCATATGAATGCATTTCGTATGCATTTGAAATTGAAAATTTTGTGGTTAGTTTTGCCTAAATGCGTGTCTTAGAACCGTTTTGAATAATTGTTAGTCCAACAACCCCTAAATTGATGTTGTAATAAAGACACGTTTGAGTTGCAAGCGATCATGTTTAAGGTGGTTGCAAGTGGTTTGAGAAAGGTGCTTGCAACTTGTTGCAGTTGCATTGAGTTCTTTTCATGGTTGTAGTTCGAGTTTGAATGAAGTAACCTTACAAGCTGATCAGGAGAGAGGATTTAGAAAATGAACTAAGTCATATTAAGCCGAAATTGTTTCTAATTATTTATAAGATCGAGACCGAGAGGTATAAGTTATGCTAATTTTATTAAATCTTATGATGTGGCTTGTATTTACACATTTTGAAAGTGCTGTCAAGTAAGTTAATAAACTGCAAATATTAATTAGAATCGTTTCTTAAGTATGTATTTCCTTTTGAGTTCGCACAAGGCTTTAGGCATTCGTAGGAATACAGATTTTGTTTTCGTTCTATCTATCTATCTATCTATCTATCTATCTATCTATCTATCTATCTATCTATCTATCTATCTATCACAATCATGTATCACATCAAATATTGAGCTAGTTGCCATTAATGTCTCGTATTCGATTCACGTGTGTAACGTTGCATAACTGATTCATGCACACTGCAAATCTCTTGTTCCTTTCAAAATACGTTATTTGAGTACTTTAGTTGCAGATTGAGTACACAATAATCAATCTAGTTACTTTCACGAAATTCCATTTACGCATTTCAGTCAACCGTCTCATCAATTTTCGACCCTAACAAACATAACTCAACCTCAATTTTTAATGCACTTTTGCAGAGCGCATGCTTCACAGTCCACCGATTTGTCCAATTGGCAGCTCATAAAATTTTGATCCAGCATTTTAAAACACACACGCACAAACACATTGACTGCACTGATGCTAGTTTATGTGCCCCGGATATTGTGCAAAAATATGAGGCCATTAAAAATAAATCATATGACAGGCAGAGGCGCAACCCCCGTAACCCTTTTGCCCAGGTAAAGGCCAGTCAAGTGTGCAAAATGCATTAAACAACACGCGACTCAAAAATCTGTGCCATAGACTCAAAATTTGGTCCAGGGGCTGCCACTTGAGC